TCCCCAGAGGGCATTTTGTTGATGTAATAAACTGTTTTTTTTCCTTAGATAGAAAACTTTCAATCGATTTGACTGTATGATCTGGTTGAATTGTAAAGTGCCTTGAGATGATATATGTTGTGAATTGGCGCTATATAAATAAACTGAATTTAATTGAATGTCTCAGGTTAATAAATAAGGGTTTAGGCTTTTTGTCCACCTTAGAGAGTGTATGTAGTACCAAAGCTTACTAAGGACCAAACTAATGGATCCTTTCTTCTATCAGGTGGTGAATACACTGAGCCAATAAATCTGATTCCTGCAAAGCGTCCCCGGCATCAGGACTGGGATGGAGAGCTGTATGAGAATGGCTCTTTTTACATCGGGACCAGGGACCTCATCCTAAAAGAAAATTCAACACAGGTAATTCAACAGTATTACTAACTTCCTACAGTAGACAATGAGGTCCTTTCTTAGTTTGCATAGACTCTGATGTTCATGTTGGTGTCTGTTTAGGGCAGGAAGGTGGCCTATTTTGAGATGGAGCCGGAGCACAGCGTGGACATAGATGTGGACATTGATTGGCCGGTGGCGGAGGAGAGAGTTCTCAGGTAAGACTGACCTTAGAAATATTAAACCGAGTCAAATATAAATGTTTTCCTCTCACGAAAACAAGGTATAAGACATTAGTGATTAGAAATATCATAAAAATGTTGAAACATTTATATTAAAATGTTGAAAAATGCAAGCAAGATGTGAAAAACTGGAATCGTCATAAGATAGAAAGTGACAAACAGCTTTATAAGTTTTGTTTTTTTCTTTGCTTCTTCCTACAGATTTGGTTACTTTGGTAGAGGAGTGTCTTTAATGTTCTGTAGGGTTTCCAGATGTTTGACAGATGGGAGGGTGTTTCTGTCTGCATCTGGAGAGGACATTGTGTCCATCCAAACTAAAGACACAACAGGGCTGAGGATGCTGCAGAACGATGGCGTGGAGGTTTGGATTTCTCAGCTGCTTGAATATTGTTGGAAGATCATTCACCAAACATGGAAAAAAAAGAAAGAAAACCTCTGATGTTTAGGTGGTGCTGCTGATCTCCAATGAAGACCCTGTGACCCAATCAATGGCTGAGAAACTGAAGAAGGTGATGGGCTGTGAGGTTATGGATGTTGGGGATGATCCACTGAGGGATGTGCAGTTAGTAGTGGAGAAGAAGAGACTCGACTGGAAGGATGTGGCCTACATGGGTAAGGAAGTGTCTTTAAGTTGGTTTAGCTGATGAATATTATATTTTAATGATGCATGTATGTAGAGAACATCTTTTCATTATTTAGTATAATGCCTAAAAAGATGTGCACAAAGTAGTGAAAGGAGCCCAAAATTATAGTATTTGGTCACTAGATGGTGCTATTGTCTGTAGTATATGAGACAGGAGGAGCAAGTAGTAGGCAAGTGTTTTGGAGTTATTGAAGTTTGTTAAAAACTTGTCAGAGGTGAATAAATGACGAAACATAGCATCAAAGAAGACCCTTAGGACTGATATTTACACAAAACAATTAGCCATTTGGTGCTTCATAGCCAAGCATCAATGGATCAACTCTTCTTCAGTGCAGTATTAGATTGGCTGTTATACTATTAAAAAAAGGCAAGAGAGGGCTAAATAACATAAAAAAAAACTCATCATGTATATTCTACAACACTGCAGAAACAGGTTTCTAAAGCTTTTTTGTTTGCTCTATTACTAAATTTCCCCACAAACGTAGTAGAGCTTTAAGATCTCAAAACCAATTAAACAGGTTAAATGTGATTATTACAGGCATTTAATCTCCATTCAACCAGTCAAATATATTATTGATTTGTGGGTTAATGTCATTTCAAATATAGTATTAGTTAGTTATTAAAATTTTTGCACATGAAAGATGGTTGAGATGCGATATGAGTATAAGCAACTTTAGAAGACAATGTAATGTAGGCTATTGTAGGCTATGTAGGTTTATTGTAAGCAACTATAGAAACAACATAGAAAAGAAAAGCATTTTACATCGCTGGGCGTTCTGGTTGTTTCTTATACTTCAGTACAATCAGTAAACCATTGGTCACACCAGGTTGGGCTCTTTCTGATGGGCTGTCTCATTATTTAGCAAAGTGGGGACTTGAGTTACATGGAAGTTAAGCAGAATGAAAAAAAAACTCTCTAAACACTAAACTTAGCACCAATAGAATGATTTAAATTAGGCTATATAAAGTAATAGAATGGCCTAGTCAAAGCCCAGTTATAACACAAGAAAATGCGAGCTACTGTGTTTCAGTGAGTAAAAGAAAAACAATCAAACCCAAAACTCAGTTCTTTAAATAAAGGACTTGTATCCTATAGAGGCTGAAAACATACAAACATAGCAGATATTTTTACATTTGAAATAAGATAATTCTCCTCATTCTTTCTCTCAGGTAATGATAGAGCAGATGCAGCCTGTCTGAACCTGGCAGGTCTGAGTGGAGTACCTGCAGACGCTCCAAGGGATGCTGCTGATGCTGCCAAATACACCTGCCACCAGGCTGCAGGGACTGGAGCAGTGAGGGAGTTCGCCGAACACGTCCTCCTGCAGAAAGAAAAGGCTAAAACCCAGATGAAGCAGGACCGGATCGACCGTAAGAACTTCTGAAGTACGAAAGAAATAATGCAAAGTAGCAGAGGATTGTAAAAGAGGGTCTGCTAGTATAATCTCTTTCCTGGAAAAATAAATAACCTACAAGGTAGATCTTGACATTGACAATATGGGCAGTTGGAAGGACCGTTTAGAAAAGATGGAACCAATCTGACAGAGAGGTTTTCTGCAGGGTACAGGTTATCCAAAACTGGTAAAATAAATACCTCATTTATCAAACATTAACTATATCTTATAAAAGGGTCAATACATTTTTTCAGCTGTAAA